AAGTTACAGAGGTCATCTGGGACACTTCAGGTCACGGAGGTCAACTTGGGGTCATCACAGAGCTCAATTGGAGACCACGGAAGTAATCTGAGACACGTCAGGTCACAGAAGGCAACTTGGGGGCTCGTCAGGTTACAGAGGTCAACTCGGGGTCATCACAGAGCTCAATTGGGGGTCATCTGGGACACGCCAGGTCACAGAGGTCAGCTTGAGGTCATCAAAGAGCTCAACTGGAGGTCACGGAGGTCATCTGGGACACGTCAAGTCACAGAGGTCAACTTGGGGTCATCACAGAGCTCAATTAAAGGTCATGGCGGTTATCTGGGGCACATCAGGTCAGATAGGTCAGCTTGGAGTCATCAGAGGGGTCACTTAGAGGTTACAGAGGTCATATCCCAGCCAGCAATTCGCTTGGGCTGAGCTGTGGCAAACGTCGGGCAGCTTGGGCTTAGCTTGGGTTTGCCCACTTTGATCAAAACCAATGTACTTTTTACTAGGGCTGAGCTGGGGCATGCCGCAGCTATGAACACGTGCGGATAGCAGTAGCTCAGCCCGACATCTGCCCGCGCATCCAAAACAGGCTTAACTTGGGCGGAGCGCGGGCTGATCAAGCTGGCTGTGTCCTTCGGCTAACTGGAGTAAAGCCGGAGCTTAGCCATACTTGTTCGGCTGTTCGCGCATGCGCAGTTCTGCGCCAATCATGTGCAGCGTTTGTGACAGTCTGTGCGCTGTGCGACGAAACGACACACCGGTGTTGGGGCATTTGGTGGTTGATGTTTGGGTGCGTGTGACAGCGCGAAGAAGGGATAGTGCTCACTGCTCTTATCAAGTGGACTGGCACGGAGTTTTACGGTAGGTAATTGTATTGAATGGTGCGCTTGATCGTATGTAAACGTCATTATTTTGACTGAGTTTCACGCCATCAAACATGAAGCTGAATAGCTGTTCAGCCTGGCGACTTATACCCTCGCTCAGAAAAGCCGCATTCCGTGCCTTTATGTATATCTTTGTGAAATACCAGCACTTCTGAACCAGGAAAATGAAATACAAAACACAAATATTTATCTACTTATCACCGAGCACGCTCATTCTCTGTCCGCGCTGAAAATCGAATGAACATTTTATACGGATCAATGAGAAGTGCTGTTACAGTATTAATGCAACAATAAGTTATTTTTCAAACAAACATGCAATGTAAATTAAACCAATTGATCTCTTCTCAGGTACATACCATTAGAGCAAATGGTTCCAAAAAATGGAATAGTTATACAAACCAGGACCGGGTGGACGCCGCTGTCGCCCTCGCCAAGTGGTCTAGCGGAAACTGCCTGCTTATAATTAAGTAGGTATACCTACATATACGGAAACTACGCCGAAAGCTGGCCGACCACCTGCTGCAGATGTGTGGTGTGAAGGAGCCAGACGCCTCCAAAGCTCCCATTCACCAGAGTGAAGTTCCTTATAAACGATTGTTTGCTAATTGCTTTATGTCTTATGAGCGATTACTTGCTGTCCTTACTTTATGCTTTCGGTTAAGTGTTCAACCAAGTATTATGAACGGGGAGGGAGGCTGGCAGGTCTTGTGATTGATTTATAGTTTTGATGGCGCTTTTTCATGACTCATGCCATATTATTGCTGCAGTTTGCAGTCCACTGTTTCATGTATTTGTGTTTCATTTGACGTGTCTGTAGTCGTTTGAAATATACATTACATCAAAGTCAACCACTACTTTCCTTTCGCAATGCTCGATGACCGGTTAACAGAGCATATGGGTGACCGTAGCAATTTTAAATATGCATTAAAACCACACAACCTGCTGAAAGTGCATTGGCTGCTCCTTGCTACTTGATCCAGTGTGAAGCAAAAGCAAGATGAAGTCAAGTCGAGACTTGAGAAAACAGGAGCCGTCACTCGAGCCGAACCCGAGCAAAGCCACAGCAGTTTGCAATGTATAAACCCCATTTACTTCTATGGCTTAAGTCGGGATAGACAGGGCACACAGAGTGGGCTTGCCGGAGTTCAGCCCGCTCGGGCCCAGAGTAATCTCCATTATATAAATGGATTCACTGCTCGGGCTTAAATCGGGCTAACGCCAATCGTCGCTCAACTAGGGCTAAACTACGGCTGCCCGGAGCTCGCAGAGCGGGCATACCTCCGGCAGAGCATGGGCTTTAGTCGGCGTTTCTGTGTCATACGCCGACTTTAGCCCAAGCCCTAGCCGACTTTAGCCCGACTAAAAATCTCGGGCAATCCGCACTTGAGCCTGCTTGGGCCCGGAGCAAAATTGCTGGCTGGGATGGGACACGTCAGGTCGCAGAGGTCAACTTGAGATCATCACAGAGCTCAATTGGAGGTCACGGAGGTCATCTGGGACACGTCAGGTTACAGAGGTCAATTTGGGGTCATCACAGAGCTCAATTGGAGGTCATCTGGGACACGTCAGGTCACAGAGGTCAACTTGGGGTCACCACAGAGCTCTATTGGAGATCACGCAGGTCATCTGTGACACGTCAGGCTACAGAGGTCAACTTGGGGTCATCACAGAGCTCAATTGGAGGTCATCTGGGACACATCAGGTCACAGAGGTCAGCTTGGAGTCATCAGAGAGCTCAATTGGAGGTCACGGAGGTCATCTGGGACACTTCAGGTAACAGAGGTCAACTTGGGGTCATCACAGAGCTCTATTGGAGGTCATGGGGGTCATCAAGGGACACGTCAGGTCACAGAGGTCAACTTGGGGTCATCACAGAGCTCTATTGGAGGTCACGGAGGTCATCTGGGACACGTCAGGTTACAGAGGTCAACTTGGGGTCATCACAAAGCTCAATTGGAGGTCATCTGGGACACGTCAGGTCACAGAGGTCAACTTGGGGTCATCACAGAGATCAATTCGAGGTCATGGGGGTCATCTGGGACACATCGTTTTTAGAATTTGGAGAATCTTTTGGGGGATGCCCCTCGCAACGTCCACGACCGCCTTTCTGGATTCGCCAGTAGTTGCTGGAATGGTGTTAGGCTACTTCATATCCATGAATACCCCAATAAATGTGAATATAACATATTATGCACCATGTTCAACACTCTCGCTGGCGCGGATTGAGGCCTCATAGACGAACCGTTGGTTCTTGCTTTATAACTCGCGTTAGCGGCAACGGATTGCAACGAAATTTTCAGGATCTCAAGTTTCAACAATTTTCCACGTACCATGCAAATTTCGTGACCATGACCCCAATGACCTGTGACCTGTGACCTCTCCCTCAAGGCCATATCAACTTGCGACACAACTTACGACTGCTATTTCAAATTCGTAAGTTGTGTCGTAAATCAGGCACTTTGCGATAGACTTTACTTCTTAAGTAACGCTACTCATCAATTGATCCCTCTAAAACGACTTACTACACAACTTGCGACACGTCGCAGCTGCGACGAGGCTTACGACGCTCTGGATCCCCCCAGCCAAGGCCCTCCCCCAGCCAAGAGAGGTGTTCTAAGCTGGTGCGACATCTATAATATCAAACATTTCCCTGAAGCGCAGAGCTGTGAGGTGGCGCTAGCAATGCCAAGCCGTGTGCAAGCTTTTTGGGCTATTACAGGTCAAATATTTGCATTTATTATGACAGTTTGATAAGCATAATTTATTATACTCCATTTTATTTATTTTAAGTGTTTCTTTCCAAGAAAAATTATAATCATGCACTTCATTTTTCATCGTGACTGCAAATTATAAATTGCTAGCCAATTCTATCAATGATTTGCGCAGATGCGACATATACATTATGTTTGTTTAAAGTATTCATTCTGCAAATATTGCAAGCTTCTGCCAATAGCCTTCAGGAATTGCTTGAAAGGTATGCGTACAGAGCTCGGTTGCCAAGCATAAAGAACATTTTGAGCGGCTTCATGGCCTTCGGCTCCGTGGACCGTGTGAATCAATTGAAGGTTATAATTTTTAGCGTTGAATTTAAGAATTAAGCAAGAATTGTTGCAAGGCTGCTGCTGTGAAGAGTCCAGTATAATAAATATTTGAAGTTTAAAAAATCTAATATCATGGGGGTTTCAGTTGTGCCACATTTTGACGAGAATCATAATAAAAATTATAGTTTGAATTCAAATTGTTTGTACTAGTGATTTAAAGATTAGGTTTATTTAAAGTGAGACATGGACTGCTTCATTTTATGGTTCCTAGAACAGATTGCCAGAGCTGCTTCATCAGTCCACAATCATTGATATGCCTTTAGCTTGTATCCTCATTGTTATCTGTGCAAGACGAGGCATGCACAGATCCGAGAAAATGAATGTGGTATCTGACTCCATGTCCATGGATGTCCATGGATCATGACTTCAGACTCAAGGGATTATTTATCCAACCCTGTACTTTATCTAGAGATCCATTAGGATCATAGATTCAAAGTTATTTTATGCCTAGAGATTCAGTGAGATCATGGGTCGACCTAGCCGACTTTTCCATCAGAGGTATCCGTATTTGAGAATCACTTGGCGCAATTTGCAATAGTTCTGTTTCATGGATATCATTTGATTACCCATCACAATGCATAGCTTTGCTGCACTTATGGACTTGAACTCACAAGTCACGTAGGAAACATGGTTGTACAGTTTACATTTGGTTGGATCCACTTGGATCATAGATCCCTGTTCATGGTTTGTCATCAGCTTCAGTGAAATTTTAGATCCAGGTAATATTTATGTGGTATCCATTATCCAATGTGATCATAGATCCTAGCTTGTCATTTGCCTTGATATAATCTGAGATCATAGGTCCATCACACAGATCCATGCACATGTCTGGACTCTGGTAGGTAATCAATATGAACATGAGTTGAAACCTGCAACCAAACCTTGCTGCATAATTTATTAAGCTAAACTCATTATCTTTTTTCTTGCTCTTTTATGCTACATATATAAACTGATAAAGCTTATGTGTGGTGATTGGTTAACAAATAATATTCTTTTTATTTTTCAGATACCTATTAACTTTCCAGTTCAAGACAAATGTGCTTCTTGCAAATAATCCTGGAAGGTGCAAGATAAATAAACATGTATTTTGTCACACATCGAGCTATTCATAGAAGGCTGCCAACATTCTTTCTTGTTGCAAAGAGAGGGCTACATGAACATGTGTTTTGTCAGAGGATGAGTCGCTTTTTCCAGCCCATCCATGCTGCCAAACAGTCTTCTGTGAAAGATGGTGATGTTGTTTCCAAGGGCTTTGAGGTAAGTGGTCTTAGTCTGGAAGTTTTTTTCCCTCTAATTTCACATTTTTTAATCTCAAACCCTCTTCTAACATAACAATGTAGGTATATTTGGGGTGTCATGTGAATTGCTTTTATATTCATACAAACAAACATCTGACTCACTATCCCCTCTTGCAGCTGCTGAGCACTGCTGGCTACATCCGGCAGTCATCGGGCGGCGTATTTCACATCCTGCCGCTCTGCCAGCGTGTTCTCGACAAACTGACACGTGTTGTGCGCCAGCAAATGGCCTCGGTGGACGCCTGCCAGCTGACAATGCCCACGCTCGTCCGAGATACTCTCTGGAAGCAGACTGGTATGCATTTTCCACTCGTGTTTTCTGTATGATATTCGTTACCATTGCAGGAAATTTATCGTCTGTCCTTTTTCTTACGAAAAAAGACGTAAGATAATCCGACGGAGCAGCGAATTAAGGTTGAAAGTTTATCGTAATGTTCATAAAAAATAAGTAAGAGTACGATACACAGCACTCAGGTGACGTATGTGGTAAGTTCTGAAAGCTGCACTAGCCTGTGACGCATCCTTCGCTTGTTTTCAGGTAGAATGGATAAAATGGGCGGTGAACTGATGACGGTGGAGGACCGTGCCGGCCACGGGTTCGTTCTCAGTCCGGTACTGTACCCGCTCACTTACAACCAAAATAACCATCATTCATCGGAGTGTCCAGTGTCCACTGTCCAGTTGATCAAGGATGAGACGAGACGAGGACAAGTCATTATTGCTGTGGAATCAATTATTGAACCTTTTTCAGTTCAAATACTTTGCAAGCAGGCTATAATGACGGACATGGTCAAATAAATATGCCGCAACAGCTCGGCATTGAGTATTCTAGCCATGGCTATTAGTTTTTGAGAATATAGTCAGAGCGTGACTGCTGACGTGGGCGTTTGTTCTGAGCCTGTGCCTATCAGTAACTTATGTTTGTCGTCCCCTTACCCGCTGACTGACTATGCGTCCTCTGCAGACGCACGAGGAGGCGGTGACGGCTCTGGTGGCTTCCGTGTCGCCCATCTCCGGCCGCCAGTTACCCCTGCGCCTCTACCAGATCACAGCCAAGTTCAGGGACGAGATGCGGCCTCGTTTCGGCCTCCTAAGGTCAGTCGCGGCACACTGCAGTTTTGGATGGGGAACTATAACTGTGTTTGGCATGGGTCATGCTCATGCTGCAATTTCCTATACAGATTCGTTTTATACTGTAGCTGCCATAAATATAGTAATTCTGTTTCGGTGGTGTAGCTGCTTACACCAGTCACGCAGCAGCATACGCTTGGTGATGTACGAGTTTATCAGCCTAGAGACGCCATCGAGTCAGCCCTTATGATAATTTTTAATCTCAGTCTCCTCTGACTCAACCGCCGTGTCGCCAGGTGTAAGGAGTTTCTGATGAAGGATCTTTACACGTTCGACGCCTCTGAGGCGGCCGCCATGGACACGTACCGGGCCGTGGGACGAGCCTACTCGGGTCTCTTCAAACGACTTGGCGTGCCCGTGGTCAGAGGTGAGTCACGCTGGGGTCATCAGACGGGGCTAGGGTCTGTGATCAGGGACGGGCGAGACACACAACTGAGCTCGCACCACAGTGCAGGCTTGAATCGCGGGTGATCCGTATTTGCTCGCTATTTTTACGCTCATTTTAGCGGTCATAGCTGGGGAGCTGAGAATGTCTGCGTTCTAGAGTACGTACACGGTTCATGTTATCGTGTGAGCCGATTTTAATGTGTCCGTATGAAATATATTCGATCTGTGCCTTCGCCATGCAATTCCTTAGCCCTTCCGTGTGCGTCCCGTGCCGTGTTCTTAACATGTCCTGTTCTGAATCCATAGAGTACTATGCCCAAAGCCATGACGTGCTGCCTGTGCCTGTGGGCTGTGTGATGTCGACAGGCTATACCTCCCTGCCCCGTATAACCGCTGCCCCTCTCGGCAGTGCGCGGCGACTCGGGTGTAATGGGCGGCGGTGTGTCGCACGAGTACCACGTGCTGGCTCCCGTCGGCGAGGACCGGCTGCTGGTGCGGCCCGACTGCCGACAGGACGAGTGTCCGGCCGCCGTGAACCTGGAGGTCGTGAGACCAGAGCGGGAGACGGCGCCCGGTGAGGCCGGGATGGACACCTGTCAGGCGTGCGGACACCCCCTGCAGGAGCGGACAGGTATCGAGGTGAGGTCTGCTGGATGTCACGGGGAAGGGAGCGGGGCTAGATGCTCGATGACTGCGGCTCAAAAGCCTGGAGCAAAATGCCATTCAGTCTGACCCTCGTCTGTTAATATGTACAATTAGGTTGCCCATCTTACCGAGTGTCAGTTCGACTCGTTTGACCCGCTCTGATTCCGTATTCTGACCCTCGCTCTGCCTCCATGCTGCGGCTCGTATATTGTGTCTGTAGTTGTACTGACTACTGACCCACGTTTTTCACCATGTTCCGAATTTGTCTTAGGTGGGCCACACTTTTGTACTTGGCCAACTGTACTCCGAGACACTGGGCGCCTTCACGGTGACCGACTCTGACGGTCGGGTACCGCTACACATGGGATGTTACGGGATCGGCCTCACCCGACTACTGGCGGCCATAGTGGAGTCCCGCGCCCAGCCGGGACAGCCTATCAGCTGGCCGGCCGCCCTGGCGCCCTTCACACTCTGTGTCATCACACCCAAGGTAGGGGGTCGTGTCATGCCTCTAATTGATTAAAATGTTTCTGGAACAAAAGGAGACTATCCCCGCGTTCGAAGTCTCCCGGATGACGAAGATTCTACGCCGTCCGGCCAATCCCGTTCCATAACCGCAGCCAGTTGACCTTTAACGGGATTGGCCGGACGACGTAGATTCTTCGTCGTCGGAGACTCCGAACGCGGGGTATATTTCATATTTGTTACGTGTTTTTTTTTTTTAAGTGTCCTAGAAAAAGAACTATTCGTTCAAATTTCACCGATGGGATGTACTCGCTCTCTCCTTTATCAATTACTCATTGACAGCTCACTGCTGAAATATGCTTGCTGTCGCTATCTCCCTCTCCCCCTCTATCTCCCTCTCCAACGGTGTGAATGTTTTGCCCTATCCTCTATGTCCAGACCATGAGTCTGGCCTATTTGATGTCTCCTCAATGCGTGCTGTGTCCCCAGACTGCACTACGTGTTATGTGTAATGTGTCGTCTCACCACGACCCGCATCCCCAGACGGGCAGCCGGGAGGAGGCGGCCCGTCCCTGGGCGCTGCGAATGCTCTCCCAGCTCTCCCAGCTGCCAGAACTGCGTGACGACCTGCTCTGGGACGACCGAGACCACCTGACGATTGGCCAGCGGGTGCGCGAGTCGCGCCGCTCTGGCCACCGCGCGGTGCTGGTGTTTGGACGGGCGGCGGCTGAGGGCGGCAGCGGACCGGGCCGGCCGCGCGCTGAGCTCATCACTGCCGACGGCAGTCAGCTGCTGACTGAGAGCGAGCTGCCCAACCGGCTGGCCCAGCTGTGCCGCGAACAGTGATGTGACGATATACTGCCCCCGTGTGGCGGACGACGGTGAAAACAGGGCGCCTGGGGCGATTTGATCAAGGTTCGTGAAATTTACACGTGACGTTAAGCACGTAAAGGCCCGCGAAGGGGGAGAAGTTCCAAATGTCACGTGACTAATATGCCCTCCGGCGCCCTGTTTTCACCGGCGTCCCGTGTGGCTGGGTACGGTGTGAGTGATTAGGTCTGTTGGTATCGAATTGTGAGTTAATAATGCCTTGTGTTAATAATTGTGAAGTGTGAATATTTATAGCCAATGGCATTATTACTGTGACCACTCAGACCAGTTTCATATTTGTGCGATTTGTTTGCCATTTTGCATATTTTTGGTAATATTTTGCGTTTGAAATCACCGTTTCTTCCTCAAAACTGCGCTTGCCTTAAACTAGCGCACGTAATAAAAGACCCCGGGTATAATTTTGAACGTCGTCGGCCTCGCTACCGATGCTTGTTGGACGGCAGTGCTGTAGCGCCGAGGGCATCCGATTGACATTTGACAGGCATGAAAGCGATTACAATATTGAGGTTCATGCTTGTCATCCCTTGGCAAATCTGACGTAATAGTTTGTTGCGCGGTGCCTGTCATTGAGTCATACTCGAGCTATTTGTTTTGATTTTTTGGTCCTAATTTGCCCCAAATGACAAACTGTGAAGTTGCAGCTTTTTAAGCTCATGATTGAGACGGTTATTGCGCATTCGTTACCATTTCCGATTCGCGCGAAAATTTCTAGCCATTTGTATTGTAGCTTTGTGCACAAAAACAAAAAAGTTCTCGTTACCTATCATTCGCAACGACGTTGGATTGTACGAGTTGCAAATGTGACATTAAATTGGTAGGTATGTCATAAAATGTTGACGTAATAGTGAAGTGCTACTATGCAAGTGGCTTGACCAAGCAACGGAAGTATAGCTCAAGCTGAATACAACAAAGTAACTCAAACCCTTGGCTCAAACCCAGGTTTATATAGCCATGGCTGAAACCCAGGCTGGAAAAAACAAGTCTCGTTAGCATTTTTGACGAGGCTTTGGCTCATTTATTTTGCGGTAATTTTGATGCAGTAATCTTTGCACATTTAAAGGGGATCATTTTGTAAATTGTAAAGCATCATTCACATCTTTTGCAACAATGGGCAGAGCTATAAGCTTGCAACAACCCCTATGTAAACATGTGCTGCTTACATTTTTTGGTGTATCTGTTTCAATCTGCCATATTTGCCAATCACTGACCTCCAGATTGGAAAAAATACACGTTATGCCGAATATATCCGGCATTGTGGTGGGATTGCGCTGAAAATTTCAGCGCTCGTCTGGTGTATCTTCGCATGCGTTGAATTCGGCGTATGGCGGCGGACAAATTTTTCGGCGCAGGGCGGTCGCACATTTTTTGGTGAAAGACTGTCACCGAATTTATGCGTTGCGCTGGTCAATCTAGCAGCAGATTCGCCTTGCAGGCGGCTCTGGCGAGGTTGCGGGACGAGACGTCCCCGCCCCGGTCGTCGTGTGCTCGAACTGGCGAGCCGCCCTGAGTCTACTCAGCGGAGGAACGGCCGCCCACGGTCCAGGTTAGGCCTCAACCTTCGGTGTAGAGATAGGTATGGAAAACCTTGTTGAACGTCGCCAAGCGTCGTTAAGCAATAGCAGTGGGTTCCTGACCACTGCAGAATCGAGGGGAATGAGAGCGCGGACGACCTGGCAAAACAGGCGGCTGCCCTGCCCTCAAACGCCCGATCGCTGACAAGGGCGGTTCATTGTGCGGCCTCGCATCACTATCAGTGGCGCGACAACTGCTCAGAATCACTATTCAAGCCACTCCTCGGGAGCACGCCGCCGCTCCCTGTCCCCGGAGAGGACCGAGAGGATGCCATTTCGGTGCACCAGATGAGGGCGGGCCACTGGGGTCGCTCGCTCCAGTACGGCACCGAATCAGCTGTCTCCACTTCGCCGCGTGCCAGCAGTGCCCAGACGAGCGGTGCCCAGTGGCGCTCTGCACCATGAGCTGAGAAAAGGGTGATGTGCCGGAGCACGTGCTGCTCCGCTGTCTGGCCCTCGCAGTCGCTGGCTCCCGCCGAGGTATTGGGTTTACGTGGAAATAAAAACTCATTCGGACGCTCAAACATGGGAGAGCATACAAGGCCCCGAAACACTGTCTGGTTGATATAGCCTTGATCAGTAGATGTGCACACGTGCTTTTTATGAAAAGGGCTTAATTTTCGCACAAATAGTCACCTAATTTTGGGCGCAAATCACGCATAAATTTCAGCGCAAAATCGCTTGCGCCGACTTTCGGCGCAAGCGGGTCTCACGGGCGTCCGGCGTAGTGTATGGATGTTTTCCAGTCTGGTTTGACCTTGTATTGTGTTGTATTGTAACTCTGCGATTTAGAGCCGCCAGTCCATTTTGCACCGAGTGAGTGAGGCCGTGTGGTTAAAAAACATTCTTATGCCTTATTTTTTTTTCATTTGATGCTAGGATGCATGGAAAAGATGAAGTCTGATTTTATGACTATATACGGTCATCGCCATTCATTCTAGAACCTTACATGGCAAAGTTAAGCCTGTCCCGTAGCTCAGTTGGTTGGTACTTGGTAGAGCATCGGACTCTCGGTAGTCAGAGCCCGGGTTCGAGACGCTCCGGCGCTCGATAGTGACACTTTATACTGGGATGGTCTGCGGTTGGTGGGAACAGCCGCAGCCAGTTGAAGTCAGTTGAGTGGGACAGGCCGTGTCCGGCTTTGAAGGGCACGTTAAACTTTGGCATATAAATTCTCCCGTTACCCGGAATTGCGCGATCGGACGGTAGGGGTCGGGGTCTACGCAACAAGCTCTGCTTAGCGTGGGCTCCGGCTCTGTCAATCCGTCCATTCAAACATTCGAGCTATATTTATATAAAAAAGTTTGACTTTGTAAACATCAACTTCAAATAGCTGCAAAAGATGAAGTTTTAGAGATGAAGACAAAGGATACCCTTGCATCTTGAGTCTTGACTTTGGGAGACAGGGTAGCATCGTGAACCACAAATCGGGGCCCTGTTCGCCGTTCGGTCTCTGTTTTTATATCAGCGTGCTGTCGGTTTTCCCCATATAAGGAAGTTATTGCTGGCGCTTCTTGGCCTCTCATTGGTCTAACGAATAGACCACTTGAATTCGACCAATGAGGAGTCAAGAAGTAGCAGCATGCTCACAGCCTGCTGATAAATAAATGGGGGGGGGGGGGGCGAACAGAGCGAGGGGCTCGAGCTTCAACCTATTTCCAAACATTTTGGAATTAAGTGTACAAGGCAATGGCATATGAAAAAGTACAAAGTTTGAGGTCAACTTTGAGCTTGATCTTGGCCTTGATCATGAAGTTTGAACACTTCATTAGGTTCCTCAGATTCTGCTCTTTCATTTCCCATTCCCATCCTTTCTGGCCTGTTAGTGTTGCATTGCATGCATACCACCGTCCTCTGGAACACTTGGTTTGAGAGATGACTACGCATATGATGGTTTTTCCTTTGGACTTGACCCCTGACCTTACAAAGTAACCTAAGGTAACCATTTTGAGTGCTTTGGAATCACGTTGTGAAAACCTTTCGTTTGCTGCCTTTTTTGTTTTGTAGCTCCCTTATTTATGGAGTTAGATGGGATGGGGGAGGTGAAAACCCCACTCCCCCGGGCCCCGGCTGTGGTGGCTATAATTACCCCTGGTTGGGATTACCCTGTTTTCAGAACATTTCTCAAGAGCCTTTGACGGAGGATACCGGTCCTCGGTCCATCTGCTGCTGAGATGCCGTTCACGAGGCGGGCACTGAAGCGGGCGAGAGAAGCCGAGGAAGCTGCAGACGAGGCCGCCGGCGGTGGCGGCGCACCATCGACTGTTACCGGGGCGTCGTCAGACTCGCCCCCAGAAGACATGCCGGAGCCAGACTCCCGGCCGGGCGTGAAAGATCCGCACCAACGCAGAGAGTAGGTGGCACTGTCGGACAGACCGCGTACGGTGTTACCTATTCGCCGTGAGGATGTAGGTGGTGGGCTCAGTAGCTGTTTAGGTGTGTACTGGCAAAACTGCAGCGCATAGCTCAATTCGGACGGGTTTTTGCTCTGGAGTTTGGACGGAATTATTAACGTTGGATCAAATCAGAGGGCAAGCATAGGTCACCTGAATACCTTTGCAAGTATTTTTTTTTTTTGGGGGGGGGGAAGCACATCGATCGCCTTTTCTACGCCTTTCTATCGTTATTAGTTTTCGAGTTGATTGGATGCGGCCAACCCGGCTTCCCCATCATGGCGAAGTTGGCTAAGACACCCATGCGGGCACGGGTTTAGTGCATTTGGTCTGCTTCCCACTGCTTCCGACTGCAAGGTTTTTATTTCTGCTCACCAATTTTTCATTTTTGACTGTTCTGTATGGTGCATGAATCGCCAGTAATATGACATAAACGTTATTCATTCAAAAGCGACAGCCCTCACCAACGTCGACGCGTCATGTTAGGCTTTCCCTCACTGACTTGGATGCCGTATTTGCCAGTTTGAGGGGGATCATTCCTGTGCTGAATTGCGAGTGGCTCGGCTGCGACTTCACCACTAAGTCAATGGAGAAGTTCATCAAACACGTGGATAAACACGTCCCCATTAGCCCTGGTAAGTCGAGCACTCTCAGTCGTGGACGAGTGCTTCCGCGACCCCAACATCGTTGATCAATTTTAGCTCTCTTAAATAGTTGCCAGTAGCTTTTCACAAGTGAAATTTTTTGATCAAGTAGACGATAGTCGATACCTTGTATTCCTGGACTGAGTATCACCGACACCGGCCAATGACCACGGACCAGTCCACTGACCACCGCTAGCTGTTCATCGCCGATATCTAATCGACCGCGACTGATCACTGAGTACCGGCCGCCAGCCATTTACCACTTGACCGCTAGCTGCTGATCACTGACCGCCAATCACCGCCGCAGATCCTGGCAACACGTACGAGCGCTGCCGCTGGGCCGACTGCACGTTCCGAGTGCTGGACGAGCGTATGATCCGGCGGCACGTGCTCTACCATGCGTACCACTGTCGGCTGATGGCCTTCGGCGCTGAGATACTGAAGCGGTCAGGCATCCGCCGCTGCACGCTGGATAGTAGCGAGCGACACTTGCTGCCCGACCTGCCGGATCCATTCGTGTGAGTGTCGTCAGCCGTGGGCTCGTGGGGATGGGAGGGCGGCACGGCGATCAGCTTCTCCACGTGTGTTCTATGTGGGCCGTCCTGGCTTGATAACTGGCTTCTGAGCATGATGGTGGTCCATGATTTAGGCGCGGGCCAAAGTCGAGTGGTCGATCCGTGGTGCCATGCGCAAGAACGCTGCTTAACGTGGCACCTGAATCGAAAACCACCCATCCTTCCATTCAGACTTAAAGGTAGACTGCCACCTTTTTTTTCCACAAAACGGTTTTCACTAGAGCTGAGCCACCTATGTCCCAGACTGAAGTCGGTTTTCCGAAATTCGAACCCGTTTGCGAGAAATCGGAGACCAAAGTTCAGTTTGATGCCATTTTTTTAGTCCAAGAAAACCGACATCTCTACTATTTATCGATAACTTTGAAACATGAATTTTCTTATCTTTTGGTAAATATATGTCAAAACTTTGATTGTTTCGAGATCAGAGAAGAATTTTGGAGTGTCAAAATAAAAGTTAAACTTATATATTCAGTAGTTCATTTTTTCCAAAAAAGTGTGGGAAATGGGGTTTAACATGGGCCAGACCCATTCCAAATGAGCCATGATTTTTTTTAATGTTTTACGAACTTAAATGCAAAATAAATTAAACATGGCCAATTTCTCATGAAATCATATATTAGTATTTAGTAAATCATAAAATACCTTACTTTTACAAATAAAATGTAATAATCTTATGACCTTGAAGTCTAGTGATGTGTAAACATTGTCGCTAGACATTAACCGATTGATAATTGTATGAAAATCGACAATTTTTTTTCGCGATTCACGTGATGATACTTTGTCAGGTCACAGGTGAATTCTAAAATTTTGTTTTGTCCAGGGAATAAATCATAGGCCGATCTGAGAAAACTTTTTGAAGGTGGCAGTCTTCCTTTAAGTAAAAATAATTAAGACAAAATGCTCGCGCGCCGACGGAGTGTGCGGCTCTCTCCGTGCGGTGCGCTGTGCCGGCTGGTACCTACTGAGTGAAGTGGCGCTCCGTGACTGACCTCGCGGGCGCCCGCTGTTCGCAGCTGCTACTGGCAGGACTGCACGGCCGAGTTTGACGACCCGCAGACCTTCTTCTGGCACGTGACGTACCACGTCAAGTGCCACTACCAGGGCGAGAAGCTGGATGGCAGCCGGCCGGCCAAGTGCCTCTGGCTTGGTGAGTGGTCGCTCGTGGTGCCGCTGATATTACTGTAAGCACTGTGAAATGGAGAATCGCCAGCCATCAGCAGTGACTGTTCAGATCGATATTGTCTCCGATAAATAACTAGTTCGAGACTTTGAATGCATTGCCATTACACAATCGCGAATTGCAACTGAAATAAACGATAAATTGGTGCGGGCTGTTGTAAACGATTCATGAAGATATATATCAAGCAACTTTTTTTAAGCGTGGCACAGAGCCTGGCGACTTTGACGCACATACCTGATAAAGTACTAATGACGTACCAACAAACTAAAGATACGGTTGGCTCCGTACCTTTTTCTATGCGGCTGGTGTTTGATGCACCGGCCGTGTGCAGTGTTTCCGATCGTACGGCTGATGTATGTCTGAGCGTCTGAGATCCGTCCGTACATCATTGCGAACACTACAGTCATTGATTGCTCTGTGTATCAACTGCGCGTATCCCCGCTCTATTTCCAGACTGTACCGCCGCACACCGCAGCTACTACCGGCTCAGGGATCACATGCGCGTGCACACGCGCGAAAAGCCAATGGCGTGCCCCACGTGCGGCATCGTTTTCGCCAACACTGCCAAGTTTGAGGACCACAACTTGCGGCAGACGTCGTTTGAAGGTGAGCGGTCGGGGGTTGGCGATGGGAGAGGGCTGCGTGACAGGCTAAGAGGCAGACAGCTCTGCCGGCCGAGCGTCGGCTGACCTTAGGATTGGTGGAGCCTCGATAGTAGTTAGACCTGTCTGCCTGTGCTTGGGCCAGTTGAGGGAAGAGGAAAGAAGCTGACATTATCTCCCTGTCACAGAGCTGTGGTACCATTCAGCCACTGTCTAAAGCTGACAATATCTCCCCTCAACAGAGCTGCGATACCATTATGCAGCCACTCAGTGTCTGAAGCTGACAGTATCTCCCCCCTTGCAGACCTGCGGTACCAGTGCAGCCACTGCCTGAAGCTGTTCGCCACCGTGCGCATACTCCGAGATCATATTCGCTACCACATCAACAAGTACCGCTGCCAGCTCTGTACCATGACGGTGCCGTCGATGAACGCCCTGCGAGTGCACATGCTCTACAAACACACGGACGAGCGGAACTTTTCCTGTCCAAAGTGCTCCCAAACGTGCGTTTGCCTCGGGACGTGGGCTCAGGGTTACGGTGTCTGTAGCGTTGGTCGGCACGTGGCTTGAGTCTCGTCACACTGGGAACAGTCGATATGAAATTGCTTTATGTTGTCGGAAGGGAATTTAACTTTGTTTTGGATAGCCTCATCAATTTCTTTTTTCTGACTGCTTGCCAGTAGGTTGAATCATACAGAGGTGTCTACATAGAGGTCTATGGATGAATCTCTGTTTAAGTAGTTCAGCCTGAAGCCGTTACTTGGTCTCTGCTGAGCAGTGTCTCGCTGTGTCTCGCAGTGTCTCGCAGTGTCTCGCTGTGTCTCGCTCGCTGTTCATACTGTCTGCCACACACATACGATGGTCGGTGTCCCGTCGGCGTGATGGCGTGTTCAGTACTGTCGGTCGCCCGGCTGACCCCAATCTCTTCCTGCCGACCGCTAGGTGTAAGACGTCCAACGACCTGGAGGTGCATCTCAGGGCCCACAACATGTGGGAACGAAACGAACGCCTTCCGTGCCCCCACGAGGGCTGCCGGTTCGCGTTCTTGACTGAAGAGCGGCTCAAGCGACATTACAACGTGAGTAGGTGGCTCAAACGACATTATAACGCGAGTAGGTGGCTTTAACGACATAACATTATAACGTGAGTTGGTAGCTCAACCTACATTAACCCGCGAGCCGCTGGGGGGGAGGGGGTATTAAGTTACCCCTTTACGTTTTGTGGAACATCTCCGAAACCTGATAAGCTACGAACGTGAAACTTGGCATAGCTTCAAATGAATACCTAGGCAATGTTTGAGGGAAGTTTGGTAGTTGTAACACTTAAGATGACGTCACAGTGACGTCACAACGTTCTGTCGTGTTCCGATATGGACCGTTTCTGATGTCGCTGAGCATGAAACTCAACTGTAAATGAACTAGACAGTACCTGCTGTCATATTAAAACGTTCACTTCCAACTACTGTTTCTGACCAATAATCGGTCATTTATATTCGGTCTCATATATCTGATATATCGTAAGGAAACTGAGAGTCGCAAATCTATAATTGGACTTCTGCCGTCACTGTGACGTCATTTCAAATGAGATCGACACCAAATTTGAACACAACCTCGGCTAGGTATTCAGGAAGATGTGTGCAAAGTTTCGCTTCTCTATCTCTTCGCGTCGCAGAAGTAAAGGGGGGGGGACTATATACCGGACCCCCCTCAGCGGCTGGTGGGTGGCGCGGAGGCCCAGGGGCCACCGGGTTAAAGGCTAAAGCATTATAACGTGAGTACTCAGTAGGTGGCTCAAGCGACGTTAGGGAAGTGGGGGTAACCCCGCCACTTGGTCAACCCCGCCAATCGCCATACCCCATGTTGGCGATGCAGTCGGTGTCATTTTTTATTCATCACAATACGCACGACTCGGGAGGAGGTGGAGCTACGACACTTCTAAAGAGTTGAAGGAAGTTATAGGCACACACTGGAAAATTTGTCTTCCGTTATAAGAAATTGCGATGCTTGAACTTTGAAGTGGTATTAACCATATTGTACCAGCGTTTGATTGAAGTAGAAATGGGTTTTTATGAAATGCGGCATCATGTGCTATGGCGCCCCTGCTGCATGGCGCTGCATGGAGTTTGCCATGGTCACGTGGTCTTTGTAGGATGACAATTCGGGTGAAACCGCCATGCTGTGGCGGGGTTATCCCATTTGATATGAAATGTTGTCCGCATAGGAGTCAGACAGATGAGATTAAACAAGTCATCGTCTTGCGTTTTTAAATAGTTATTCGTACGAAATTTTTTATTATGACCGAAGCTCTTGTCAGTTGTCCGAACACATCTACATTTATTGGCATACTCAACTGCCTTGCTTCATGCTTGAAAGTAGGATTAAAAGAAAAGGGCCACCTTCGTGAAATATGAAGATATTGTTGTTTTTCATTTTGACATTATTATTTTTCATTTTCTTTTTAAAACTGGTGCCAGAAGTGCACAATTCGCTAAAAAGTATTTAAAACTATTTAACATATTGGTACTATGTTGATACTCTCTACGGCACCTACTGTATGATGGCATAGCGATGACGTCACACTCAAGCCAATCAGCGTTCAGAAGACAGACTCGTCGGATTGTGTCAGATAAGCTGATTGGTTAAAGCTGAGCTGGTTGGAGCTGATTGGTAAAAAACCAAAGCCTCGCCGCGGGTGGCTGTATTGTCGGATAAGAACGCATTCCTGGGATAAGCACGCATTCCTGGCGTATTTTCTTTTAAAATTGCCGATAACTACGAGTGGAGGCCGAAATCGGCCGTAAGGAGGTAGACTGTTAGGTTTTCGGACACGGGCTACAAGATGGCTATCTCAGTTTCAATCCCCATGTTAAAGGTGGCCCTTTTCCTTTAATTACTGTCTTCGAAAAAACCAAATGTCTAACGACCCCTGCGAAGATCAGCTAGCCGCACAATAGCACGGTGATTGACGGTGATTGGTAAAATTGTCATGGGGGAAGACCAGCAATCTACTAGTAGATTATAAATGGCCTTGGCACCAACCATAGCGGGCTTACCCCCACCCTTTTAGGACCAGAAAAATGTAAGTGTTTTTTAAAGCAAACTAAATTATGTTCTGGAATGACGAAGCCATTCACCAATTAACAAAGTTGTTGAAAAATAATTGTCAAGTAAAACCAAACAAAAATAGGGACCAATTGTTACCTAATTTGGTCCTGGTTACGAGATAAACTTAGGGTGGTTGGCTTCTCCCAACCCCCTATAACATTTAACATTATAACGTTAACGTGAGTTGGTGGCTCAAGCTTCATTATATTGTGAGTAGGTGCCGGCTCAAGCGGCATCATAACTTGAGTAGGCCCAGGGCTGCACAAGCGACATTATGACGTGAGTAGACTGCACAAACGATACTGTAACATGAGTTTTGGGCTAAATTTTGATCTTTTCTCTTCCGATTTATTATATCTTAAAATTGTGTCGATTGGCTCGTGTAATGCCGACAGACCCACAGAATTTATGCGCCCTCTAGTATGTGATACCCCCCCCCCCTCTAGCGCTTCGGCTGACGGTTACCCCCCCCCCCTCCCCCAGCGCCTTGGCTAACGGTTACCCCTCCCCCCGCAGAAGATTCACAGTGGACAGCCTCGCAGCTACTACTTCTGCCACCTGTGTGACACCCGCTACCTGGCAGCAGTAAACCTAGGGGTTCACTTCAAGAGGGCGCACAACCTCAGAGTTCCAGACGGACACACGCGGTTCAAGTGAGTACCCAGCGCTCTGCAGCCGCACGGGGTGGGGGAGGGAGGATGTATGCGCCCCACCATATTATTTATATACGCGTCCCACCGGCCACCCGATCGGCGGTATTAGTAAAGTAATCTTGATCGGCGGTGATCGGCGGTGCCATCCGGACGCAGCGTGCATGCAACGAAAAACAAATACAAACAACCACGTCTGAAAAAGTCAACCTTTACACTCCAAGTAATCACTGTTTTTTTTTCTCGATTTGTTTTGCAATCCCTTTGTGTATAAGCATTGCTGAGTTTCTGTAATGGGCAATAGGATATGACTTGTTGCACGGTGGTGCACAATGCACAATGCACATGTTGCACTATATTTCCAATGCGCAACTAGTGCGCCGGTTTGATGTATGTTTCCTATTTCCATGTGGGATGTTTCAAATCACTCACAGCCGCGTGAGACGCGATCTGTCTGTCCGTGTGTAACGTGTCTGCCTAAGCCAGTGCGATACGCATTCTTTTTCACTAGTAACCCCAAGGAGAAATCTCGCTCCATCGTCCAGGACCTATTGTGGCCACCAGAACGAACTACAGATTTTCGATCTAACACTATTGATCTGTAACTCACGGGGTGTCCCTCCGCACCATTTTAAACTCCCCTCCCTCCTTCCATCCGGTGCGCGTCAGGTACCGGCGGGGCGCCGACGGCCATTACCGACTAGAGACGCTCCGGTACGAGTCTCTGGAGGTGGCCGAACTGGCGGAGGCGGCCGCGGCACCGGAGCCGCAGCCGGCCCCCCAGCCGGCCGCGACCACCCCCATGATGGATGTGCTGGCTCTCAGCTGTGAGGACGGAGATGTGCCGGACACCATTAATGCTGACGATGGCCGCGAGCTGCACCTCCCAGAGGAGGTGCGCCGCGCGCTGGCCACCGGCCGCCGCGTGCTCGTCTGCGTCCAGGGAGACCAGGTGAGCGGGACCAAGAGTTCCTTAGCGTGACTTCTGTGGCGGACGGAGCGGGTCAGGGCCAGGTAGGCATGAGCCTGTTCTGGGGTGGCGCTGTTTCAGTCGACTTTTATCTGGGGTAAACCCACAATTAGAAAATGGGTTAGCTATTATATCGAAGTTAATTGGTTGCAGTAGCAAGTTGATTGAGAAAATTGGTCCTTTAGATACTCTTTTGCAGGCTGTTCTTTTCATTATAATATGAGACAATGCCTTCACTTTATTTGATTATTGTGTCTTGGGCTGTCTTTCACCTTCACCTCCGACTGGTCCGTGTGTGACCTATCCGCAATGACCTCTGCACGAACCCCACTGTGTCTCCCACTCAGCTGTGACTGGTCCGTGTATCTGCATGACGTCTGTGTCTCCCAGTCAGTTCTGACTCGTCCTCTGAGTAACCGCCGTCCGGTCCGGTGTCACAGGTGCAGCTGCTGGCCAATGTGGACGCCATGAACGAGCTGGGCGACCCGGACGATCCGGACGCGCTCATGATGGTCGTGGACGGACAGGCGGTGGCCGTCGGTCCGGCGCCCGACGCCGAGTGAACCCTGGACTGGAGTGGAGTTGGGAGGAGTGGAGTGGAGTTATGGGGAGTGAGCGGTGACAGACTGACGGCAGAAGACGACCGCTGACGGACGATATGATAAACTGATATGGGAAGGAAGGCAAAGAAAAGACACGTTTTGAAGGAGAAATGCAAATGAAATGAAATGAATAGGTGATTTTCGAATGGAGATGTCTGAGAAAGAATGAAACCGAAGATGTGACCGAGATGTGACCTAGTGAGCGGTGAAGTTAGTGAAGGAAACGATCCATGGAGGGAGTAGGATAGTCCACATGGGGAGTAACGAAGAACGTTAGTGGCGAAGAGAAGAGCCGTCTGGTAGAGTGAAGTGGTTTGTGGAAATGGAAGAGTGGTCCTTGGTAGAGCGGAGAGGTCTGTGGTTGAGTTACGAGGGTAACTGAGCTCTGCCGACGGCCGTGCCAGTCAGTGTGAGGTCCACAGCCGGGCGGCGGCAGGCTGGACTTTCATTGGAACGGACGGGCATTTCTCAGGACTGACGGAGGACATTGGGCTGGTGTCGATAGATGCGCTGTTCGAGGGACAGTGCGGGTGTGAGGACTGCGACAGGTAGCCGACAGCTCAGTGATACTGGTCCGTGCTACAGACTAGAGCGGACTGTTACAGCTGTGACAGACTCACGACAGTGACAGACAACGGATAGACGACTGACCGATGAGTTCAAAAGACCGGCTGAACAAACCCAGGCGAACTATGGCACTGGGCGAAAACAGCGAAAGATCTCGAGCGAGTGTGGCGGCGCGCGGGTTACTTGTCCGTCCCTAAGGCTGGCTTTGGCGGACGGGGCGGGGCATTCCACGTCAAATCAAACACCGAAATCCGTCATCCCCTTCGATTTTTCTGAAAATTTGTAGGTAGACTGGGCATGGTTCAAAACTGAGTTGCGTATAATATTTTCGAAATTTGATAACGTATCGCTGAGATATAGGTCATCAAATATAGAGAAAAATGCCACGCATCAATTTTTTAAATGGCTATAACTCTGGTTCCTTTTCTGGTATCAAAATGATATTAACAGGGTCTTATAGGCCATTGATAAGGCTTTGATTTTTAATTATAAAATTAAATTGAAGTGACCTTGAAATGCATTTGACCTTTAATTAAAACAGAAAAAATTAAATAGCAAAAAACACGTCACCTTCGATTTGGGTAATTTTTACATATTATTTCCGTCACAATGTTCCTAACCATCTGTGAAAAAAATGGAGTGGGCCATTCATAACTTTCGCGGCAAACGCCGTTTTCATGCATCAACATCACGCAACCGCGCGTGACCTTGAAAGGCAGAGTCAAGACATGCTTGCTTGTGTACACTTTCTGAAATGAATGATTGCTGATTAGTGATATCCCAAACTCTGCGAGAATGGAAATGCATAGTCATCGTAGTCAAGCATTCACGTTCCATAGTAAAAGTGTCTCAGGCAAACGGTATTTTGCGGTGAATTTTGAGCCGTGTGGAAATGCATCATGAAGTAAATTCAACGAAAACATTATCACGCAACGATATCTTCACGTCTTTTGATCTTCACTATACGAAAGAACATACATTTTTTAGTATGTATGGGAATTTCTAGTTAATCCAATAATAAATATGGCAGTTAGAGGCCTCAGCTAAGAGTAACATGTCGCCGGCTGAGGCGGGCTCGGCCGATGCGGGAAACGCAGCATTGGCAGCAATCACAATTTTGTGTTTACACGTTCATATTTCAATTGTTTACCAACCGATTTTCAAAATTCTTTCACCATAAGATTGCCTGTACATTTCTTAGTCTTCTCACAAAATTTGACGCGAATCGAACGTAATCAGCGGTAGGGAGCGCGATGTAAAGACGGAACCGTTCCGTTCCGTCCCGGCACAGTCTACAATTCAGGCGGCGCGTAGCGGTCGGCGCCGGCTGCCGAGTCGCCGCGTCGCTGCGGCGACAGTATGTTCACTTTACAACGCTATTACTAGAACAGTTGTGAACCGATTTTCTTATTGCTTGCACGATGAGATGTCCAATTCAATTCTTGACAGGTAGCCATAATTAATTTCGCATTCATCTTATGAGATATTGGCGAAAAAACAGGAGGGGTGGGCGAAATTCGCTCTTCCCCCTCCACTGCGCATGCTAACATACGTTTGCATATGTGCAATTTTTTTCAAAACTTATGAATGGCCCACTCTAATTTTTTTCACAGGTTGTTAAGAATATGGTAGGCAATAAAATATATGAAAATGAGCCAAATCGAAGGTGACGTGTTTTTTGCTATTTCAATATTCGTGCTTAAGAACAGAGTTAAGCAACTTTCAAGGTCATATATTTAAGTAGGTGCAATTCTAAACAAATGCTTAAGAAATTACCTAAACAGTAAGGTTTATTTCATTCAAATCAAACAAGTACAACCAAAGTTATGATCGTTCAAAAATATAAAGATGCAACATTTTGTAAAAATTTGATGCCCTATCTTTAGAAGACCTGTGGTCAGAATGTGCAAAAAACATCAATGTAATGTCCGGGGCCACACAGGAACTCGCTCACAAATTTATAATAAAATCGCTGATGGTAAGGTGCAAAACAACCGATTTTTGTTCGATTTGACGTGGAATGCCCCGGACGCCCCAGTCGTTCTGTATCGTGTTTCACAGGCAAGAGTCTCCTGGTGCCTTTACCGCGGCGACTTGCAGGTTTACAAGTGTCTCACGCCGTTTTGTGTTGTTTGGCCATGTTTGAGCGCGGGGAGGATGGTGAAAGTTTTTACGGTGTTGATATTATATTGGTCAGTCATTTTGAACACTGCGTAGTGTGCACATTGTTGGCATATGCTCAATACACATACGAACATTCTTACGGTACTTGATGTATGGCATCTGCGGGTGCTCAGAAAGCAATGCTTCGCGATTCTGGTTTCCTCTTAGGACTTCACTACAGGTAAAATAAGGTGTATTTTTGTACCGTGAAGAGCAGCGATGATTGTGATGGACATGAGAGGAATCGCAGCGAGGTGAGCTGCTGCCGCCGACGGTGCGGTCCCCTACCGGCGCATCTCGCACAAGCGCCCAGACGACACTACTGACCTGTGAGCAGTGCGTGAGGGCGATTACAGTGGCTTTCCACGCGTGATTGGCCGGGAGTAGAAACGCGTGGCCTCCGGCGCGCCGCCGTACCGTGACGCAGCGCCGAGCGAACGGCGGTCGACCACCACGGTTGGCGCGGAGAAAGCTGATCGAGGGACCGAGCGGACGAACACAGAAACTAGTCGAAATACGACCGCTTACGACATTGTGCGCTGTTTACCTCATATCGATCATCAGTCTATGTTGAAAGAGGGGTCAAGTTATCACCTTGAGGCTTGAACTGCCGTTTTGATAGTTAGTCCGATTAATGCGCATACACAATTACACATACAGGCACTAGGCAGCGCCGTGGTACGCTTATCGGCCCACCTCCATTACCGATACCCAGCCAGTAGCCACACGCTGACCGGACGTGCGTCACGCTGCCCACAGTTGGCGAGTTCCGGTCATATCACACGCCGACCAAACGGACCGCTCGTACACAGCAGCTGCACAGGCGAACAGGATTGTAATTGCTCACGGCCAGTTCGGCCACAGTAGCACGACTGTCTCCCACTCATCTGCGCACTTGTTACACAATACAAATTGCAAGTTGAACGTAGATGTCAGTGAAAATCGGGAACAGAAGAAAGGCTATGCGCCTTCAGTATTGATGGCATACAGTTTCACATCGTTTTGTACGTTCCCCGAGCTGTCTCTCACCGTGAAAGCTCAACAAACATCAGAGTAACGCAACGCAATGCTCAGGCTTCCCCCGGCCGTTGCTTCAAATGTGTAACTCTTGAATAACGTGCGCCGGTACCACCGAAGCCTACCTCGAGTCAGTTAGTAGCGGTTGATGAGAGAGGGAGAGAGAGAGAGAGAGAGAGAGAGAGAGAGAGAGAGAGAGAGAGAGAGAGAGGAGAGAGAGAGAGAGAGAGAGAGAGCGAGAGCGAGAGCGAGAGCGAGAGCGAGAGCGAGAGCGAGAGCGAGAGCGAGAGCGAGAGCGAGAGCGAGAGCGAGAGCGAGAGCGAGAGCGAGAGCGAGAGCGAGAGCGAGAGAGAGAGAGAGAGAGAGAGAGAGAGAGAGAGAGAGAGAGAGAGAGAGAGAGAGAGAGAGAGAGAGAGAGAGAGAGAGAGAGAGAGAGAGAAGCGTGCAGGGTGAACTCCGCACATTCTCCCGTGTAACAGCGTCCCATGTAACAAACGATGCAAGTAACGCTTGTGCCACTTGGATACAAAAATAATGCATGTATGACACCGGTAGCGCAATCATACTGGACACTGTGACAACACCCATGCACGAGGGCTACTCTACGGCCCCCACCTATGGTCCCAGGGTGACGTCGCGTTACCAGCGCGTCTCTCGTCCGATCGCGTTACCCCAAACGTCTTAAGCTAAAACGTGTTATCTTGATTAGGGAGTCGCACTACCCCTGTATCGGAACCTAACTACAAGACCGTCGCCGCCCAATCACGAAACAATGAGGTAGTGCTCTCCCACATAGCATAGTAGTTACATTGCGTCGGCAAATACTAGCAGTTACTTTGCGTCGGCAAATACTCCAGCGCCTGCTGTTACAGCGCACAGCGGCGTCCCTCCGCGCGCACACAATAGACGGCACCGTACGAGTCGCGTGGCGCCTCTCCCACGATCTCTGAGCTGAGCGTCGCCCCGGGCGATGTCAGAGCAGACTGGTCGGAATTGTACAAATAAACCGGCTTCGTCAGAAGGAGCGACGGACCTAGCCGGCCGCCCCCGACCTTTCCAGGGATCACAGTCCGTCCGCCCGTGTGTGACACTCGGAGGGATGGTGCCTGAAAGAGGGCGGATATACGTCAGAGATTTCAGAAACATAGCCGGAAAGGCGAGGACATCGATATAAGGATGACGTGTGTCCGCCCTGACGTCAGTGATTAGAACATAGCTGGGAAAGTGGGGACATCGAGATAAGGATGACGTGTGTCCGAGGTGAAACAGGACGGACACGGCAGTGATAGGAACATAGCTGGAAAAGTGAGGATAGGAAATAAGGAGAGTAGCTGCTGGAACAACAGGACACTAAGGGGAGTCAGGACTCCCGCACCCGAGGCCGACTCTGGGGTTTTACGCCAACACTCCGTGAAATCTTCCAGGAGCCGGCCAATAAAATCACGGAGTTTCTCCGAGGAGTGGGGCGCGCCGAACCCCCCGTCGACGTGCTCCCGCGGCGGGCCCCCTAGAGGGCCCGCCGCGTGGCGTGCAAGAAGAGAGAGAAAGAGCATAGCTAAAACAGCGGGAACACATACAGGATGGATGGAGAAGCCGGGACAGAGTGGCACAGTCTGAGAAAAAAAAACACACCAAATGTAAAAACGGTTACGAGCTAAGGACTAAGTAAAGACCACAGTTGCCCAAATATGGATATGGACACAATCCTCTCCTCATTTCTGCTTTTTACACCAAAAGAAAGTAACAAATGCAGCAAGACGGCAGACGTGGTATCATGTTGCTCCTTATCGACTATGAGCGATCAGACACACAGCAAGTCAGCTGGGATCTGGGCTAAGCCCGGCAGACGCGGACCGCTCAGCCTCCCACCCTAGGCGCCACTCACCGCGGCACGGCCCGCCGGCGCTAGTTGGACGCGCCGCTCGTCGACCGGTCTCCGTCGGCGCCGATACGCACGCCGGGCGTCTTCAGCTGCGAGCTGATGGCGCCGCGGCCGCGTCCGACGACGGCCGGCCGCGCGCTGGCCGCCGGCGCCCCGTCCCCGCCGGCCGGCTCGCCGACCAGCGCGGCCGGCAGCGCCGCCGGCGCCGGACGCCGCGCCCGGCCCATGCCCAGGTTGGGGTTGATGTTCATGCCGTTGCAGCAGATGGGGTTGCTCATGGGTCTCCGGCGCGCGCCGATTGAGGACACGGACGGCGCCGCCGCCGACGAGGCGCCCACCATCGAGCCCGCCTCGCTGTTGGTAGAGCGAATCAGGAACGTGTCACTCCAAACACAAGAAGCACGAGCGGTTGAAATATGGAAAACAAATACTTAAACCAAACCAAGCAACAATGCAAAGTCATCTCCACTGAGCCCCAATGTTTTGGCAAACGAGACGTCCCCAGCCGCCGCGTTTCCTGCCCGCTGCCGTCCGTGCGGCGGCTCACCTGCCGTTCTGGATGGCCTGCGCGCGCTCCACGTTCTGTCGACGGAACTCGTTTCTGGCCGACTTGCCGCGGTGCTCGGTGGGCACGCGGAATATCTCCCGGTTCTGCGTGGCCACCTTGGGGTCGTACTTCTGGCGCATGTGGCGCGGCAGCTGGCTCACCTCCACGTCCCACTCGTCGGAGCCGTCGTTGTCCCAGCCCTCCACCTGGTTCTCGACGGCCTCGTTGCGGGCGCTCCAGGTGACGGGCATACTTAGATCGCCAGAGGTGCCCTCGGCGCCTGTCCGTCGGGCACACAAAAACTCAGACGCTTTGAGAGGATGGCATACAACTTACGGCAGATGGGTACAAAAATTATGACATGTGGTGAAAAAGACAAACATGAAACATACTATGGTAGGTAGAGGTACGGTTCTCCAGGGTATTAGTCGTAGGTCGCTCGGCGAGCGGGAGGGCAACCAGTTCCGCCCCTGTATCGCGTGACCCCTTGCTCCGCCCAGTTACGCACGAGCGTACTCCACGCCGCGTAGTAGCGTGGGGAGGGGAGGGTTAGAATGGTGGCATGTGTAGAGGCTAGAACCGGTTTCCACCGCCATGCCACCGCCCAGCGACATGGAGCGGGGTCAGTGACCAGGGCGCAGGGAAAGGTCAGAGGTCAACTATAACGCAGAGCTTTGTGTCTCCCTCCCCTCCGCGTGTAACGACGCACGACAGCGGCCGGCCGCCGATCAGGCTTGACATGTCAAGGTCACCCGCAGTCAACGGGCTCAGAGGGTTGGTCGAGTGCGCGTCCGTGGCTGACGACAGTCTCGACCATGTGCTATGGTGCCGATAGACTAGCGTGGGTAATAAGTTTTTGTTCAGTGCATATGGGTGCTGGGGTGTGTCATCTTGATATATGATGCCTTGTAACGTGTATGATACGTTTAAAACCTCGCTGGCAGTGGCCGAGAGGAGAGGGGGGGGGGGCGGGGAGGTGCCGCCTCCACATGTTTATTTTTGTTGATAGCTGCGAAAGCTGAAATTTGGCAAGCCTAACCTTTGATTTAAGCTGAATTTTTATGACAGCAGCTGTATTTTCACCCTCGCCCATATTGGTGTTTTGCCAGCGTCTATCGTAAGGGGGGAGGAGGGTCCATTGGACCCCTTTGCCGTTCAGCCCTTGATCGAGCAAACGCTTCGCGGAAAAAAAGAGCGTGTTGCCCGTGACGAGAGGAGGCCGATGATACCCAATTTCACGGTCCTAGGTCATTGGTTGACAGGTCAATATAACTCAAAAGTCGGGGAATCGGGACCTGTTAGAGCTTCGTAAAGTGAAGCTGTTATAGGGTTTTGCGGGGTGCTGATCACGAAGTTCAAGTTAGTTTTGATCACAGATGATGTTTTCGTGCATCAGGTCACATGTTACGAGGGAACCAAAACTACTTCTTAAATGTTCAAACGGTTTCTAAATGCAAAATCAACTCCAAAATCTACCCTAGAAACATGTAGAACTCGAAAGAGTGAACAAAGGTCATCAAAGATCAGTGACCTGACTGACCTTCACGTGACCTTGATACCCACTAGAATCCATGGGATCAACATCCTTTCACATGTTTGATCGCTTAAAGCCACAAAAAGACATAAAACGCGCTCTACGCGAAATACGCCAAAACGCGATTCCGGCCAAACATGGTTTCAGAAAACAAATCACAAGTCAAAGGTCTTTTGAGTCAGGGTCATATAAATTACAGGGTAGGCGTAATATTGATTAACTCGAAGGTACTGAAAGTGTCGTCGCAATCAGCCGCTTTTTGCGCGAGTTATTTGCGAAAAACTGAGGGTAGGAGGGCTGTTCGACACCCTCCTACAAGTGCGAAGGTTATGGTCAGGCCGTTGACCAATGACGTCAAAAGTGAACCTCTGTATATAAGGTCCCAAAATGTCGCGACGTCGCAGCACCCTTCGTGCCAGGGGACTTTTCAACGTGGAATGAAGCTTATATGATCTAGTACTATCTCACAGAGGCCTCACAACTTGTATGTAGCTATCTCGTATTTTTCTTAAGAGTGACCTGAAGTCAGGTCGGACACGCAACCTCACGATTATCGATCAGTTGGGAAATATGAAAGCTGTTATTTTGGGGCCAGGAGCCATCTAAAGCTGTCTCAAGCGCATTAATTCGCGATTTTATACAATCTTTGCAAGCCCCAGCATTCACTTTTCCATTCTTAAAGTTAGGCGACTTCATTTATGACGTCACTAAGGTCACAGGAGTTTTCACCAAAGAGTCCCGATCAAATTGAGCTAGCGAGTCGGGAAGCCACCAGTGGACTTGTGAGGACCTACCGAATCGAAGAAGCTACATATATGACCTCCTTGGGCCAGCTTCGTGGCCTGAGTGGCTCTGCCCTGACCATGACCTGATGTGAACATGCCTTAAATTGACCTCAACGAAAACAAAGCGTATACTATTCGACGCGCTTGAAGTTGAGCATGCAAAACTCGATGGTGCTATAATGTTGGCTCTGTAATCACTTAAGTGGTGAAGTTGTTTACCAAAAACCGATCCCGCGACTTTGAGCTGACCTCAGAGTTTATCGGTTGACCCGAGACATTCAAATCGGGTACCAGTTGCTGCATCTCATACGACGCACGCGCTCAGTTTTATCCGCAAGGCGCTAGCTCAATTAGGGGCAAAAAGACGGAGAGTGGTCGCAATCACCCCCCCCCCCCCTCGGCCGGGGTATACTCGTATGCAGAAAACCCAAAATTCCGTTGAGGGTTAAGCACTGAAGTAATATTATGATGCGAGAAGGTATAGGTCAAAACAAGTATGCACACGAGCGGGTGTGAATAAAACTGTGTTCGAGGTATGCCTTTTTATTATACATTCGATTTGCTTTAGTTATTGGTAAGAACAGATACAACCAAGAAGAGCGCCCCTGAAGAAAAGGTGGCGCACCGGATAGGTGCGATTTTAAGGTCTAAGGTCAGTCGGGGACCTCTAAGTTCGGATTAAGCGCTGCATGTTAGGGGTAAAAAATGGGGACAAAAAAGCATCCCGATTTTGGCAGCATCGTCATGCTTTGTCATGGCACTGATCCACTCCCTCGGCCGAAATATTATTACCCTTTTGTATGAGTTCTGGCATAATCCCGCACATTATGCTGCATGTTGTTTGCCATGAAAAAAAAACAATGCATGTTCAGCTACGTTCTACGCAGTACGCACTAACCTAACCACCATCCCATCATCCACCACTAGCCACCATCCCGTTCTGTGCCCCCTTCCACCCCACACGAATCAGCCGAGACACTAGTCAGTCGGGCTAGCGCTATCCTATCCTCCCTTCCTGACTGCACAGCGCTTAAACCCAGAGCCGAGACTTCCCGAGCGCGACCTCTGACCCCACGCGGTCCGAAGGGTCGGCCGATGCCTAAGGGCGCGCCGCGCGCCGGCCACCCGGATAGCCTCTGCCGAGTCTCCCTTTCATACACCGTTTACTACGCGCTCGATTCATTCATGATTCTGTGTTTCTGCGTTCCTCTCGTTAGATGGCTCTACTGATGTCATAGGCGATCCCAGGAAGATTGCGGCCAGAATACCCCAAACGGCAGAAAATGAGGTTTTTGGTGAATATCTCGGAAAGTATTTGGCATACAACAATGCAATTTCACAGTCTCGTGGTAAATATGCATACACATAATTCGGGTTGATACTTATGCATTTGAACATTATATAGGACCAGATATGTCCGAAAAAGCAAAACCAACAAGACTTTTACTGGAGAGCCGTACCTTGATGCCGGTTGATACTCGATTAGGAAGCATTTATGGCAAGCTGTATGTTCCATTGTAAACAGTGTGTGAATAACTGAAGAACCATTTTCTAAATACAAGACAAAAAAGCACAACAAAACTGTATGAACAAGACAAAAAAAAAAAAAAAAACACAACAAAACTGGCTGGATGGTGTTTGAGTGTATGAGTCAACTTCTAAGTGAAGCAGGTACCATAGCATAAACATTAAGCATGTATTTTATGGTCAGCACAATGCTGTCTCTGTTGATGGCTGATCAAATCAGTATGCTCCATGCTAGGCTCACCTGCTTTCATGGCGAGCACGGCACGGTCAATGGGTGCCTTATCGGGACACCGGTCCAGGTGGTGGCGGAATTCGGGTTCCTTAATCCAGTGTGTGGCGTTGAAGGGGCATAGCTTTACCCGCACATCCTTATTGTACTGGCAAAAGACAGTCGGCTGATCATGTCACAAGCTGGGGGTTGACAAATAGCTTGAATAAAACCAAAAAGGAAATAACAGGTAGGTATGTGTAAAAGGAATTAAAAGGTGAACTCTGCATCACATCCAAGTGCACAATTAACAAATTTAATAAGTTAACTCAATGATTCGTTCACCAAGGTTTAGCTGGAGCACTTACCGAAGAGCAGCGGGTCAGGTGTTTTTGCATGTCCGTAACTTGATGTGCTGGGTTAAAAGGACAAGTGAGCTTCCTTTCAGTCACTTTGAATTCAAAACCTTGGACGGGCATTTTTGCGATTTAGTGCGCTGCACAGTCTTGTACAAGTGTGATCTGTAAAGAGCGAGCAGCTGTGGTGAATGCAAGACAATTGCGACCCAAATCAAGATGTCACATTGGTATGGCCAGTTCCTGATTCTGGCCTTCGACAATCTGTTGAAGCCAGACTGGAAAACATCCATACACTACGCCGGACGCCAGTGGGATCCTTTCGCGCCGAAATTCGGCGCAAGCAGCTTGCGCTGAAATTTCTGCATGATTAGCGCCGACAATTGGGTGCCTATTTGTGCCAAAATCAAGCCACTTTTATATAAAGCACATGTGCCGAGCCGCCGCGTCGTGGAATAAAGTTCCGCGTACGACAACACTTCCTTCTTCACGTCGCCAGCTGACGACCAGACTGGCGCAGTGAAAACACTATTATCTGTTTGTCTCAGCTCTATTATTCCTGTGTGTGTATGTCTCGTGTATGGGTATGTCAATGTCTTGCCATGTTAAATGGGCTCGTAATAGCCACCTGTGGAGAGTTCCAGTCTAAATATAAGTACAAATAAAAATACAAATGTGCACATCTACCGATCAAGGCTATATCAACCAGACAGAGCGTTCCGGGGTCTTGGACTCCCATGTCTGAGAGTCCGAATAAGTTCTTTATTTTCAAGGAAACCCAATACCTCATTACGCTTTGCGCACTGTAGCGTCGTGCCGTGAAACAAGGCCGGGGCCAGAAGTTCCAGGGCCACACCCACATAAATCGGCGGAGCGGTGTGTTCGAGGCTGGCGGGAGTCAGCGAGGGTCGAGCAGCGGAGTAGCAAGTATTCCGGCACATCAGCCTCTTCTCGGCACACGGCGCAGAGTGCCACGGGGCACCGCCTGTCTAGGCACTGCTGGCACGCCGGCCGCCGCAAAGTGGAGACAGCCGATTCGGTGCACGGACGGGAGCGAACGGCCCCAGTCGCCTGCCCTATTTAGTGCGCCGAAACGGCGTCCTCTCGGTCCTCTCCGGGGAAAGAGAGCGGCGGCGTGGTCCCAAGGAGTAGCTTGAATCGTGACTCGGAGCAGTTGTCGCGCCAGTGACGCGAGAGCGCACGCACAATGAACAGCCCTGAGAGGTGTTCATGGCACCGCAAACTGCTGAGTGCAGTGTGTGCGGTGTGTGCAGCAGGCGTGGGGGTAGGGGATGGGTAGGCGGTTCTGAAGTCACGGCTGCGTGCGGTGGACGGTCCCCCGGTCCCGACCGGCCACAGCGGTCGCTGTGTGCGGTGACGGAAAGATGACGTAAGGACGCAGTGGGAGGATCTTACAGCCTGTGCACGGTCCGACTGCACGCAGGTCCCATGACCAGCCCTCTGGTCAGCGAGCGGGTGTTCGAGGGTAGGGCGGACGCTTGGTTCGTCAGTCGTCCGCGCTCTCGTTCCCTTCAATACCGCAGTGGGTAGCAGCCCACTGCAGTATTACTCAACGACGCTCGGCAATGTTCAACAAGGTCTGGTCACATACCTATATCCATGACGAGGGTTCAGGCATCACCTGTGACCTGGGCAGCTGCTCCTCAGCCGAGTACTCAGGGCAGCTCGCCAGTTTGAGCACGCGATGAATGGGCAGGGACATCTTGTCCCGAAACCTCTCTAGAACCGCCCGAAGGGCGCATCTGCTGCTAGATTCACCAGCGTGCTAAATTTGGTGACCGTCTCACCAAAAAAACCTGCGCCAAAAAATTCAGCCATCACCACGCACTGAATTTGGCATATGTGAAGTTACGCCTGATGTGAGCTAAAATTTTGGTGTAATCCCGCCACTACGCCGTACATATTTGGCATATCATGTATTTTTTCCAGTCTGGTGCTGAAGTAACCTTGACCTTTTATAAATCTCACAAAATAAATGGTTTATCAATATTAAGTCATCAGCAATTGTTTTGTTGAGCATAGCACAGGCCAAAGAACAAAGAAAAGAAATTTGCTACCTACCTACCCGTCCGACCGTGGTCTTGGTCTTCTTAGTTGAGTTGTAATGGGATTCCTCGAAGATGTTGATGTGGATTGTGGTCTGTGGAAGCTCTTTAGTCTTTACTGACACCGAAATAAGACAGATCCCAGGATAACGATGATGGTCCTAAGATAACGTCACGCCCAAAGCCAAGCGCTGATCTTCCTTTCAAAAATTGAGATAATAATTGAATAAGAAACGGGCGAGGAGAAATCGGCAAGGCTGGTGCTTGTTATCTTAGGTCCTTTGTCACGTGACACCTTTTAGAGTTGTTATTACGTTCGTTTTAGGCAAAGATTTTATAAAAAATGGCATCCGTAAGAAATTTGAAACATATATTTAGCAATTTGCCTAAAGGATACAAAAATATTTTCCTATGAAACCAAAATTGTGCAAAATATGTCATATCCTTTTCAAAACCCAAGACTGAGCTGAAAGTACTTCTTCCATAGTTCGATGAAATCTTGAGATAATTGAGATAATGAAATTTAAGTCATTATTTAAAAAACGATTTTTTTCTCATTTACAAAGTAAATAAGCATAGAAACTACAACAATTAATCAAAATTGAACATGAAATTTAACATTAAACATGAAATGATAGCATTCACGATGTCTGAACAAAGAAATTGTGCGTTTCATAGATGTGCGTTTTTTTGTGGAGAAATGTTAAAATTGCAGCCTCTAGAGAATTTTTCTTAAAAACGAACGGAACCTATTTACGAAATCTCAAGAAGGCCTCTATCGTCTATTATGCGTCGAATAACGCGCACTTTGAGCACGCGACTGCGTCGTTGTTCGTGGTTGTGTATTTTTTATTTTTACTGATTTTTACACACTAAATACCGTTGAAATGGTTGCTGTACCGTTGGATTCTTAAAATATTACCAGGGTTTTCAGGGTGAGGATCAGTTCATGTATATCTATAACGCATGCTTATTAACTATTTCGTTGTCTCGATGATTGAGTGAAGGCTGCCCAAGGCCCTATACCAGGTAGGGTCGTCCGGCGATTCTACCTGATCGTGACGTCAGCTCGTGACGTCATCTGGGGGCAAGTCTTGAAGTCCCGTTTAAGTCCTATGCAAATGGGCGATTTTTGAAGCGCTGTAGAGCAAACTCTGCTAAAGCTAGCACAAAACTAAGTGCATCATCGGAAAGCCGAGACATTTTTCTTCGAATTATCTAAGAAGCGTTTTTCACTAAACCCATTAGTTTTTCCAAAAATGCGTAAAAAAACCCCATGCCTCCGCAGCCCCCCTTCCGCCGGCCGCCACGCCGCCGCGGTAGTGTAGTGGTTAGGATGCTTGCGCCGTAATCCAAAGATCGTGCGTTCGAATCTAGGCGCGGGTCGTACTTAAATCGAAATTGCAAGCACAATATGTGTTTTTTCTTGATAAATCACTTATAATACAGCTAACCGTTCATAAAACTATCGATAACAATTGACTGAAACCCGAAATATATAATACATTCTGTTAAAACAAATTCAAATATGGCGGCCGTTGCGCCAGGCTCCGCCCCCGACTCCGCCCCTTCGTGTGACGTCATCTGTGCACTTGGACACACAGGGAGATAGGGGACGACATGGGCCTGAGGCTGCCTAGCGAAGGCCGAGCCGAGCCTTACCCACATTCCATTTAAGGTTTACCTCTAGCCCAACCTCATACCTGTGTCTCAATATGTATTCATCCACATTAAACATTTCATTTTCTGACTGAGGATCAAAGAGCGTAACACTAATGTCTTACATTGCTGCTTTTGACCCAGTCTGCAAAATATGGCTCGTAGGTTGACAAGGCGCACCGGCTTAAGTTCGAAATCCGCACTAATACTTCAAACAGAGCTGAAAATCCACTCCAAAGCCGGCTGTGAGTACAAAAAAAATTCACACTGAACCCGGGAAAGTGACCAGTCTGTAACATTTTACATTACAAAGAATAATTCTCTTCAAAACCTTGGTGCGACCACATCTTGAATATGGTAATGCAGTATGGGGACCTTTTAATCGTGCGGACCAAATCCTCGTCGAGCGTGTACAGAGGCGCGCTACAAAGCTTGTCCGAAACATCAGACACAGACCATACACAGAGAGACTTCAGCTCCTGAACCTGCCATCATTGTATTATCGTCGTAGAAGAGGCGATATGATCTGGACCCACAGGCCTAGTTGGCCTGACAAAATCTCGAGAAGCTGTAAGTAAGTAAGTAAATAATAGGCATTAGTAGAGCAGACGTCACACAAAGGTTTTCCAACCAAGGAGAGGCGCTGTAGGTTTGTAGGTTGTAGGGTAGGTTGTAGGTTGTAGGTAGTAGGTTGTAGGTTAGGTTAGGTCATGTTAGGTTAGGTTTGTTTAGGTTTTGTTAGAAAGAAGTACCTCCAGGCATAGCACCTCTCCTTGGTTGGAAAACCTTTGTGTGACGTCTGCTCTACTAATACCGAATAATATACCAGGTACAGCACTGTTACAGCAACTAGTGATTATATCAAATAGATCGGCTAAATAGGTACCTTTGCAGATGCACTCGCTGCCTTATTATGCAAAGCTGATTGCAATGAAAGCATAAACAGCTTAACAGAAGGTGGAGCCAGAGTTGCCGGTTGTAGGCAGGGCTGCAAAGTATTTTTTTTTTTGGTGACTCCAACTCTGACTTTAAAATTGACTTCAACTCTGACTCGTGCTCTGACTCAAGAAAGTTGCTCTTTGAGTCCATAAATTCAATGCAAAGCTCATGTCAGATCTTTATATCTTGCTTGAAACGACCCTTTGTGCATTCCAAGCCCTTGTGATGCAAATATACTTTTTAAATAACATGCAGAAATAAAAAATAGGTTCTGACCAAGAAGCCGTCTTCTGTTTGTCCAAAAGAGGGGCATGTCCTTTCCTTAGCTCCAACAAAATCTGATTTTTGAGGGTCAACAAGAGAAATATCCTTAAGCAACCAGGTATAGGATGTGTCTATGAGCAATACAGTGTTAAAGTGACCATCCCACCTTGATATTCGTTTTGAGTTGAGATAGCCAAAATGGGGTCCCTGGCTTGCAGTTTGCACTTACCGGTTTGAGCACTCACAGTCACAAGATCGAGAAATGCCTCAAATCGAAAATATCTAATTTCAAAGTTGCAGCACTTGGATTCAGAGGGTCTAATACATTGGAATGCCCCCTCTGAATGTGTGACGTCAGCGCAGATCTAACGATTTTAAATCTTTTACTGAAATGTTTGGTAGCACGCGGTGGTATACAGGGTGTCTCAAAAGTTCGTTGACACATTTTCCATGCCAATAAAGCATATAAGAACCAGCCAAAAATATAAGGTTTTGATGCCCATGTGTACACTAGATAAATGCATGTGCTTTGACAACGAATTCAGAATGTTGGAAACCAAACCCTTTGCTGTAGCTCCCAAAAAAATTGCCGATACCGCTTTTCGTCGTTCTGTCAGCTGCCGGAGGTCGATAAAAGGTGACCTGCTTTCAAGCTCTTGCAGAGAAATCTCCTGCAGTTTCTGCGTCGGATTTAGGTTTAACGAGCTCCCCGGCCACATTTGCTTCTCCCTGAAAGCCGACAGCTTGCATAGACACCATTCATGAGTATTTTGTAGGTATTCTCTGGCGCCAGCTCCGTCACGAAGGCTGGCGCCGACATCCAAAGCACCATTTCCCTTTTCAAAACGACCCCATTCCTGAACAAACGGGAAGTGCCAGGGGTAATTTGTTTGCATAATATCGTAGGAGAATGTGTCGGCCATCTGTTTCTGAGACACGCCGTTCAAATTTTGCAAATTCCAAACGCTCGACATTCCCCATGCCAAAACATTCGCTGGGTTGCGGAGTGTTTTCCTCAAGAGAGCTTTTGCTTTGTAAACGGTCCAAGCCTGTCTATCGTGTGGTTTTGTCGGGATTTCGTGTCTGAAAGAAAGCTATTCGTTCCACATCTGCCTCATGAAACTTCGTAGGATCAAACTTAACATTTATTCACCTTCTTTTGGGGCAATTGTCCTTGACATTAACGATTTTCGTGTTATTTTCCTAAAAATTTTTGCATGTTAGATATAGAAGAATTTTAAACCATGTTTTGTCTTTATTTTACGATGATCTACTATTTTTGAAACTGGGTAGGTAGCTTTTACTTGTGAGCTTCTTGCCAGTTGTCAATAGTTATTACCGCATTTTCAGCTGCTTTTTGGCACACGAGCCTAGCTGACGTACGGGGGTCGATCAAAACGATGTTAGTCTCGGATGGTTTCGCCCTTCAAAAATTTTTGCCACCATTTTTTAAATGATCATCATGTTGTACCCATCCTGGCCGACATTTTGCCATGTGTCAGTCCTGACTTAACCATTCCCATTACCCCTGAAACAGAGCGTTTCACAACGGACCCGATTTTGCGACATCCATTTTTATGCCTGACCCATGGTCAGAGGTGAACCCTTTTTGTGAGCTCATGAAGGTTCGAATGCATTTGAAAACAGTGATACTGCTTAAGGACGGTATTTAGCAATGCCCATGCAAAATTTCGACATTGAATTTCTTGTTGATTCGAAATCATTGACGAAAAAACGTGGCTGGTGCCTGTGAACGAACTTTTGAGACACCCTGTATGCTGCTTTGCGCGCAAAAAGTTCCGCACTTTCAAATAAAGTCGCTAGGAACAGCGGAGATCCCAAAAAGTAAACAAAAGTAAGAGTCTAATATCTTGAAAACCCGTGAATATTTTTCGATGAAATTTGGTAGATATTCGTTTCTGCTCTTTCTGAACCGAACGGCATCACTTTCATGCCAATTCATGAACTTTTTTGAAGGTGGGAGGGTCCCTTTAACTTCGAATTTAGGCCACTCTGATTCCGGGCAAAACTGTCAGATCAGTGACCGGGCCGACTCCGACTGCGACTCCGCAGTCTTGAGAAGGGCTCACCATATAAGTGATTTAGGTAGGTACGTGAAAAAATGTCAAATATAACTATGTAATAATGTTTTCTTGCGTTTCACCGACTTTAAAGGTGCTCTTTCGTTATATGGCCTTATTTTTCAAATTGACGCAGAATTGGTAGGGGTATTTTGGCACCTGTGACCTGAACCTTATTAACCTTCACACCTGCGTTTTTCGAGAATAGTTCCTTGATGCCAAGTGGGCTTTCCTACTTCCGCATTTTATAAGTAGTTAAAGCGGCCGATCGCGGTTAAACTTTCAGTACCCTAGAGTTGATCAATTTTACACCTACCCTGAAATTTTCATGACCCTGACCCGAATGACCTTTGACCTGCGACCTGTTTCTCGAGACTATGTTAGGCCGGATACGCGATTCGGTAATGTTAGCTCACATTATCCGCACGTTTTGCCTTTTTGTGGT